AAAATACATATTTCGAACAGTTTTCTTCTGTTCATGAGTTTACCTAGTTCGAAATAAAAAGTGTCCAAAAAAATGCTTTTTTTAATCAAATGAAAATTAAAATAAACAGAAGTAAAAACTAATATATTTGTTATAAAATGTGTTCACAAAAGTCCAAATATAGTTTTCGTAATTTTTGCCGGCTCCTTAGTAACAGTTACGTGCCACCAGACGCCGGTGAAAAAAGGCATGTTCACCCATATGGGTCCCATAATACTATAATGATAAAACAATGCAATATAAATGTTTGTTGTTAGGTAATGAAATAAAATGGGAGTAATTTTGTCTAATGAATACCACATTTTTCTGATTTGCTTAAAGTTATGTTTATTACCTACAATGCATAATAGTAATAAGTCTATACAGGGCTTACATTTGTTCATGCAACACTTTTACAAGGCTGAGAAGGAAAACATCGAGAGATATTTTAGATATGTATATGCAGCTCACACACTGCTATTTTAAATATATATGGAAATGTCACTGGGCATAGTCCATACGTGTCTTTCTTTTTTAGATCGTAATAATTATTATTACGATTTATAGTTATATATGTTACTTATTGTCATTCATACCTGACAGATTGTAATAAAATAAATGGATTAAACAAAAAAAAAAAAATTTGTTCATGCAAAATGTTCTGTCGTCAATTTTTTACTGTAAATAAAATTATAATGTCGTGCCTAAGATATCTAAGAAATCAGGAACTATTGCATATTATTGACAATTGGAGCAAAGATGACTTATTAGTGCCAAGTGAGACTCCGCTATCTATTGAATAATAATGTTTGCCTCCTGATAAGGTTGCTGGTTAATTGGACAATGAAACGATTGACGATGATGAAATATCAACAAACATCACATGCGATTTTAGAATTTTGTTCTCCTTTTTTGAATTCCGTTTATCTAATTCTGAGAGAGTATTTTGGTATTACTGAAGTTGTATACGAACTTCAGTTGAGTTGCAACTATTTATATTGCAACTTTTAAAACTAACACGTTTCGGTTATAAGCTATGAACTCTTTCTTTGGATAGTGGGTATATCTTCCAGTTTGTGCCATACTCCAGCGGAACTGACAAATACAACAAACAATTGGGAATCGGAGCATTTGTTGTAAAGGAATTATTGAACCATTGTGAGTATCCATTACAACATATTGTATGATTCCGTTAAACCAATAGTAAATGTGCAACGCTATAGCAGAGAGTAAAAAAAAGGTTGGTGTCCCCCAGCCTCAAGTTATCAACAGCTACTACCGACACATGGGCGGCGTAGATTTACATGACAATGGAGTTGCTAACTATCGTATCAGGAATAGAAGCAAAAAGTGGTGGTGGCCATTATGGGCTCAGTGTTTAGATAGCGCTGTAGTAAACGCTTGGAAACTACATTGCTTCGTCACTGCTTCTAACAACAGAAAACCGATGCTTCAGACTTTAAGAATTTCATTGCCAGAAACCTTCTTCTTGCATCAGAGAACTTAATGTTCATTACAGAAGCTACCGCTTACAATGATTTGAAAAAGAAAAGTTACAGTGCAGTAGATGTTTATCTTACGGGAAATTTACCACGTGTAACCGGTATGCACACTCGTTCGTACACCAAAAGCCACAGTTTTTATATATGAAAAGTGCCATTTAAATGGTCATGTAGAAAACTGCTTTAAGGTTTTCCATGAAAATAAACTATATTACATTGATCGTAGACAATGACGCAAGTAAACTTATTTCTTTTTACATAATACAATACATATGTAATAATTCAAATATAATTTTTGATTAATAAATATTTGAAAAGCATAAAACATCGAATTTTATACTTACGTGTACTTTACACAACTTACAATGATACTTACTTCACCAAAAAAGTAACTAAATACCACATTTGCGAACAAAACACATATAAAAATGTTTGTAATATCGAAGAGAGAAAAATGTGCTATGGGTCCCAGCGTGTGGTTGACCAGACGGCACTTTTCCAGAAAACTACTTTTCAAAATAAAAATTTTATTTTGCAGAGATTATTTTTAATTTAAAATAAGACCTTTCTGAAAATTTCACCATAAAATTCCAAGTTTGAACTTGCCTGGAACTTAATGGGTTAAACAGCAATAGGTTCTGCTATAATAATTAAAAATTTTCTAGCTTTTTATGGAACCCTTTTGCTTTTAATACTTTTGAAGTATTTGCTTCATTCCACATTTTTCTATTAAAAATGCATTATCATCATCGGATCTAATATGGCATTTACACTGGCCTCAAATGGCTTATTTTGGACAAAAAGAAAAATTAGGAGCAAATAATTCATTTTTACATACAAAATCTCAAGCGCAAATGAGATCTATTGGAATATCATTCTGTATAAATGAGTTCCGACGAGGTTAGAATGAGTTCCAAGTGCAAATGAATACTTTGAACATACCCTAAATAAAAGCTTTTCATGGCATTTTGACAGTTTGAGAAAGGTGTTTGACATATTTATAAAAATAAGTAAACAAATGTTTACTTATTTTGGTGGTTGTAATTTGCCTGAAAACGATGCATCTCTTTTTGAACTTCTACTTCCCAAAAATAAATGAATCGAAGCTAAAAATTAGTTTTCAGTTTATATTGTAAGGTTTGAAGGTATATTTAATATACCTTCAATATTTTTTTGGCACAGGTCAAAAATCAAATCAACAGGTAAGTTGAAAAATCAGCTGTTTGAAATGAGAGCAAATGAATTACAACGAATGTAAACATTTTCAAATGATTCATTTGAAATGTCATTTTTCGTCAGCGTAAATGCCATATAAGCTCCTTTGGAGATGATGTTGCTTGCAAAGATGAAACGGCATCCATTTTCCAAAGAATATCAATTCAGTTTAATTTTTGCAATTTCTTTCTTATTGTTAATTTGACAGTCAATAAAGAGTTATAATAGCAATGTTGCAACGCAGACTTCGTAATACAAAATTCAAGTCAGTGTTGCACTTTCTGTCAAAATGTCAAAAATGTCAAAAATTATGTAGGAAATATAAGCAAACGTGAGGGAGTTCAATATCATAACGTAAAAACGTATAAATAATGTTAATTAGGCGAAAAAATTCCTGAAGTAATATTATTAGTAATGTATTCTTCGAGCAAAATAGTACTTTTAATTACTTTTTCTATATTGAGATACTTTTACAACTTTGAGCTCAGCTCGACACGGGTTGGCATAATGCGATCGATCTGAAATTTTATTTCTCTTAATTTATCACCAAAAGGAATATTTTAAGAACCAGAGACATATAAATATCAAAAAAAATTTTTTTGCGGTAACTCTAATGTGCATACGCCTCTAATATGCTACACCATAAAATAGAAAATATTCCTGCATTTAAATTTGCTGGTCAAAAGTGATATTTAATTGCTATGATATTAAAAAAAGTAGAGTACAAGGAAACAAAATCAAAACATTCAATTTAGATGGATCATCGAAATGCAAGTTATCAAGTCTCGTCTCCTACACTAATTATTGTGTTTATCGTTGTCTGTCCTAAAGGAACAACGAAATATTATCTATTGTATTAACTAAACATTTCTTAACGATCGTAGTCTGTCCTAAAGGAACAAAGAAATATTATCTATTGTATTAACTAAACATTTCTTAATGATCGTTGTCTGTCCTAAAATATTATCTATTGTATTAAACAGGAAATTGGAAATAACCAAACATTGTAACTAAACATTTCTTAATGATCGTTGTCTGTCCTAAATAAACAACGAAATATTATCTATTGTATTAACTAAACATTTCTTAATGATCGTTGTCTGTCCTAAAATATTATCTATTGTATTAAACAGGAAATTGGAAAAACCAAATATTTTTTATTATCGTTGCCTGTCCTAAGCAAACAACGAAATATATTATCGGGATTCGATACTTCGAATTCTTGGTATAAATACGAGTAAAAATTATGGAAGTAGTTAGTCTTAAGAAACATTTCAAATAAAGTGGTAGCAGAAGCTACACAAAAAAATAATAGTCTATATTTAATTGGCGCTCAACGTGAAGCCCGTGTTACAATTGCGGAAAATAAAAAGTACGCAACACGAGTTGCTCGAACTATATCACTGCATTTAACAAAACATGCAATAACTTTGCAGATGAGAAAAGAGAGATTATTCTAAGAAAAAGGAATAAATAATATTTAAAATATATAAATAATATAATATAAATTAATATTTTCAAAAATTTTTTTTATTTAACGTGAAATTTCATTTAATTAACTTGAAATCGTGAAATTTTTTTTTATTATTTTATAAAAAAGAATATATAAATTACAAAAGAACAAAAAAAACCCCAAAACTAAAGGTGACTGTCTAAGTAATAATAATTTAATACCTGTGGTAAAAATTGAAAGAAGATACAATTAAACTGAAACTCAACTCAGGAGAAGCAGAAAACATTTTATAAAATATATAAATTACAAAAGAACAAAAAAAATCCCAAAACTAAAGGTGAATGTCTAAATAATAATAATTTAATACCTGTGGTACAAATCGAAGGAAGATACAATTAAACCGAAACTCAACTCAGGTGACTGTCTAAGTAATAATAATTTAATACCTGTGGTACAAATTGAAGGAAGATACATTTAAACCAAAACTCAACTCAGGAGAAGCAGAAAACATTTTATAAGTAAGTCAAACAATTAATTTCTTTTTGAAAGAAGTATAAATGAATATATAAAATTGTTAATTGGACTTGTAAAAGGTGGAAATTTTTTTTAGTTAAATTATAAATATAAAAGTAAATTATTATTTTTTATTGTGTAAAATCTTTTCCCTTCGCTTACTGTTATTAGATTTTGTTTTATACTATTGAAATATTTGTTCATTTTTTGAAATACTATCGTGAAACGGGAATAAAATCAATTTTTTTTGTATTTATTAAGTTGTAAAACTGGAAAATCTGTTAAAGAATTTTGCTAAAATGACCCTCGAAAATAATACTTTTACACAAGACTTAATTAGTCGACTTATAGTCGCAAACACAGCCTCTCTTAGGGATGAGATAGCTTTGCTAAAAGAGCAGCTTTCTGCAGTAAATACTCCCAAAGTAGTAGAATTCGAAACGGAAGTAGTAGACAGCCGTATAATATGTGATGAGACCTTGGACATAGTAAAATCACTTCCCGAATTTAGTGGAAAAAATAGTTATGTTAGTTGGCGGGCCGCAGCCATAAATTCCATGAGTTTATACAATAGAGGTAGCAGGAAGTATTTCGGTGCACTAACCATTTTAAGAAATAAAATTATAGGCGAGGCCAACGATACTCTAACAAATCACGGCACTTGTCTAAATATGGATGCCATTATTGCTCGGCTTGATTTTGCATATTCGGACAAACGTCCAATTCATATAATAGAACAGGAATTAAGCGTGTTACGACAGGGCAATCTTTCGGTTATGGAATACTACAATTTAGTCAATAAAAAGTTGACTCTCTTAATAAATAAGACTATAATGACCCACGGAAGCGATGAGTCAATTACTAAAGAACTTAATAGAAAGAATAGGCAAAACGCTTTAAGAATATTCATAACTGGTCTAAAAACACCATTATCTGACATTTTATTCTCACTTTGTCCGGAAGACTTGCCAAATGCATTAGCAAAAGCTCAGGAACTCGAAGCAAACAATTTGAGGGCAAGATTCGCTTTAAATTTTCAGAACAATGGGAAACAAACTCCAATGAATAATTCAAACCACTATCAAAACCAGTACAACAGACAAAGGAGATACGATCACACACCTAGGAACACAATCCAAAATAATTTAAGATTCCCTAAAGCGAATATTAATAATCAAAATCAAATTCAAGAACCTGTTGTACCAATGGAAGTGGATCCATCTGTATCCAACCAATTCCAAAGAAACAACAGTTATCAATCATCTAATAGGAATCACTGGAACAACTCAAATAGGAACTCGCATTCTTTTATGCAGGGATCGGGATATCACAATAACCAAACTCAAAAAAGAGTTCATGAGAGTGTTCAGAGTAGGCAACCGTTACCAAAAGCTCAACGGATAAACAATATTTCTGAAAATCATTTTTTAGGCCAAAGGGAGTACTAGAGCTCCCCTACATACAATTAACAGATTTAAAAACTGATAAAACCTTTAAAATTTTGTTAGACTCAGGTGCTACAGCATCATATATTAGGCAGGGAATATACAAGAATAAAAACCAATTACCAATATTTAAAAGAGTAAGAACTGTAAATGGGTACAGTACAATAAAATATTATCACTCTATTACCTTATTAGGAGTGCAAGAAAGATTTTATGAAATTGAAAATTTAGAAGCAGATATACTTATAGGATATAATATTTTAAAAAGAATAAATGCTGTTGTAGATTTAGGAAACAATGAATTAAGATATAATGGAAAAACCGAAAGAATATACATAGATTCGAACAAACATAAACAGAAAAATGATATGATAATGATAAATAAATATCTGGACTCACTGAAAAAAGACGAAACTGATGAAGAAATAAACAGCACTTTTTCGAGAACAGAATCTGCCAAAACAGTAAGCAGTAATCTTTCAGAGAAGGATAACCTTATGAACATACTGGAACAGGAAGATCATACTGAATTAGCTAGAAAAATTCCCGGCGTGGATAATGACATAACAAGAAAGGAAGAGTCACAAAAAATATTGATATACAAAAACAATATAATAAAGCAAATACAATCGACGCATTCAAAAATAAATACAAGCTTACCCTTTAGAACGGACGTTAGAGCAGAAATTAGAACTAACTTAGACACTCCTATTTGGAGCAAGCAGTATCCTTATCCTCTCTCTTGTAACAATTACGTAAATGACGAAATAGCTAGAATGCGGGAAAATGGAGTCATCAGACCAAGCAAGAGTCCATATAATTCCCCGATATGGATAGTTCCTAAGAAAGGAAATAACGAAGATGGAACTGGTAAACATAGGCTAGTTATCGACTATAAAAAGATAAATGAGCATACCATAGCGGATACGTATCCAATACCAGACCCTAGTATAATCCTGTCAAATCTAGGGAATTCTAAGTATTTTTCAACAATCGACCTGGAGTCAGGATTTCATCAAATTCTAATGAGAGAAAATGATATCGAAAAAACCGCTTTCTCAATTAACAATGGGAAGTATGAATTTACGAGGATGCCTTTTGGTTTGAAGAATGCACCTCGAATATTTCAAAGGGCAATGGATGACATATTACGAGTTAAAATAGGGAAAACATGTCAT